ATTAATTTTTCCTTAAGCGGAACTGAGCACACCGTCCATAAGTTAGTACGGAACTATTTCTGTTCGGACCAGCTGAACGGAAGTTGTGTCCCTCGTTTGCGGAGGTCAACTGCTAAACCAGGCACGTTTAGACATTTTCATTGAGATATTTATCATTTTGAACATTACAAACATTTTTTTGTTTAAATAGTGTTTGTTTTGATTAATATAAAGGACTTGTTTGAGCATCGACAAACGTGTTTTTTTGACAAACGTGTTTTTTTCGTTCTACTTACTGTCAGGTGTAACATAAATTGTCGTTCGCAGGTTAAACGGAGCCCAGAGTGTTTTGGTGAACGGGTATTTGTGGGATATTTTACCGTCATGGCGAGGAAGAAAAAGGTGCGTTTCATAGCAGAAATGGCTCGGAAAATCCGGGCATATCGAGAGCTGAAGTCACGACCGCGGGAGTCCCAGAAGTACGGCCTGGACTATGAGACGATGAAGCGGCCTCTCACCGGGAAGATGCTGCCGGTCATGGCTTGGCAGGATGTCCGTAGGGAGAGCCGCCTCTTTTCTCTACTGGCTGGTTTGAGACTGTTCGGAATTGGCCGAATGTTCACCCGCAAGTCGTGGCTGGAGGACCACACAGAGCCCAGCTACTGGCAGATCACCAAGGTCAGGGTGGACTTCACAGCTGAGGTGAGAGGAGATCCAGATCACTGTGGAGCACTCAGCAAAGGAGAGCTTGTGTTAAATTGTTTTCATCTCATGCTTCAACTATGCTCTATCTATCTGTCTTATCTAAAACTGTATATAAGATGAAAAAAATCTGCATACACTTGTTTTTGCTATATTTAAGTATATTTCTAAACATAAATAAATGTGCACACACCGTGTATATTCTTAGTTTCATTTTGCATATTTATCTACTGAACACTTACTGAGCCATCACCAGAACAACCGAATTAATGCTTTGTCTAAACTGACCTGATCGTAAAACTACCTGGGAAAATTTAGCAGATTTTTATATACCTCTGCATTTATCCCGTCTTTATAATGTATATTCTTAGTGTATGTTTATATATGTTTGTCTTACAAATTCCTCACAAATCACTTCTATTTTCTTGTGTAGAACGTGGATCATGGCAAAGCCTGGGGAATCCTCACATATAAAGGTAGGATTAGACTCTTTTTTTCTTTTTTTTTCCGGACAGGACACAAAAAAAAAAAGACCTTTTAACTGAGCTGATAATTTATTATTACTCGTTTAATTGCAACATACAAACAAATAAAAAGTAACATGTTTGAATAAAATATCATTGTATTTGACAGGAAAACCTGAGAGTGAAGTAAAGGAGGTGGATAAAGTGATGTACCACGATTGGCGTCTGATTCCCAAACACATGGAGCAGCAGTTTAAAGACTTTGAGCCACTCCCAGAGCCTCCAGTGCGCTACGTCCCCTTCCCTCCCCTGCTCCGTGCCATGATGATGGCGAAGCATCACAAAGCAGGAGGAAGCACAGAGCTAGAGGAACCAACCTTGCCTTTAAACAGGGAAGTGGCGCTCAACAAGGATAACTTGCTCAGACAGGCACAAGAGGGACAGAGCAGAGAGGGTACAGCCGTATGAAGTAAAAAGTGTGCCTCAACCCTTACGTCCTGTTTTATCCTGGACTCAAACGACTTCTCTGTTCATCAGGTACAGGGTTGTGTATCTGAATTGTATGACGCGTAATAAATTTGAAATCAAACGTGGCCCATTTTAATCATTTTTTTAATGCATTCGTACATTTTTTTTAGAGCTATATGAGAATGTGTTCTGCCCATTCATGCAAATATTGGTTTCAATTTTGATATTAACAGGTCATAAAACCTTTTGTTTGTACTTTATTAAAACATCCCATGTTGGCATTACATTGTCTACAGTCTAAGCTGAAGCCCATACTGTCCAAAAATAACCTGGAGACCATAATACAAGCAACATCCAGGCTCGATTACTTCAATGCGCTTCTGTTTGGTGTCAGTCAGACATCCATTGCACGACTGCAACTTGTCCAAAATTCTGCAGCCTGATTTTTAACCGGTACCAAAGAGAGAACGTTACACCAGTTTTGGCCTCTCTGCACTGGCTACCTTTGAATTCAGTTCAAAATACTGTATGTTTTTAAATCTGAACAGTTCTGATTCCTCTTATCTTACTGATTGCTCTCCCTCGAACCACGTGGCTCTTGAGCGTACAAATGCACCTTTAGCTTTATTGATATATAATTGATCAAGTTTTATTTGTAAAGTTAGGAGCTCTGCTTGCTGTAGATCAGATATATTTTCTGGCAATATGGAGGATAGTAAAATTAAACTGGTTATTAGATTATTTTAATATAATTTCCTTTCCTTTTTTTGTTTCGAGCTTGTTTCCATAAACAATCTTCTTAGTTCATATTTTAGAAGCTCCCATTGTTTTTGATATTCCCCGTTATCTTCTGCAGTTTTTAAATGTTCTGAAATTTTTCTTATTATTTTATTTAGAGATTCGTTTTGTAATAAAGAACTATTTAATTTCCAGTATGCTGGGTATCTTTGAGTTTGCTTATCAGACGATAAATTTAAAGTTAGTACAATTGCTTTATCTGTTAATGGGGTTGACATAATTTCTGTTTTGCAAATTAACTGAGTAAGGGATTCCGAGATTAACCAAAAACCTATTCTAGATATAGCCTTGCCTCATACTTGTGTTAGTGATATTGAGATTATACAGCTATATATTTATAAAATGTTTGGTCATATTCTAATTTATTTTCCTAAAAGACATCACCACGCGAGCAGTTGACTCACTGAATTTTATTAAAATCCCTTTTAGACATTTTGGAAACGCTTTAATACACAAATAAAGTCCAGTTTTTCTTTGAATGACCAGTCACTTCTTTCCCACCGTAACGAAATCCTCATCACGTGAGCGCTGGTAACTGCACCACGTGGTCACGCTTCCGAGGCGTTACTTAGCAACGCAAAGAAGCTAGCTTCTCCGGCTTTACCACTGACTGCAGAGTGCTGGGCTCCGTCCTCCACCGACAATGATTTTCCTGTTCATGTCGATTTTCGCCCGCTTCTTTCAGCCAGGTTAGTGATACATACATGTCCGGACAACGTCCTGGGTTTTATGGAGCCTCGGTGTGAGTTTTATCGGCAGTTATTCGCAGTTTAGGAGACGCCTCGCTTCGGTTAGCATTCCGGTGTCCTGTCCAGAAACGCGCCAACTTTACCAAAAGCGCTGAAAAATATTTTAGCTGAAAGTGTGGCTAAAAACAACGAAACTACCACTGTAACCGCATCACTGTATGGATAAACCGCTTGGCGTTAGCTTACTAACTAATTACAGTTTAGTACATGTGCCCAAGACAGTATACCAGCTCACGTGCTCATGCGCAGGCGCAGACTGGAAGCTGCAAAAAAGGGTTGGCGAGAGATTTGCAGGAGTTTGAAGATGTGGTGCAGAAACACGCCCAGACTGATGAATCTGCGGAGACAAAACCTTACACAAGGACAAGAAGGACACAAGATCCTTCTTGTCCACATCCATCAGCATCTATAACAACTCTTTAGTGAAACCAGGATAATGAGTTACAACATTTCATTTCCCCTTGGGATTAATAAAGTATGTTTGAGTTGGAATTGAATGTTATTACCTCCGTGCATATTAGCGTTTTTTATGAATACGTCCACTGTTATGTCCTTTTCCTGTAATTGTTGCTTACGACAACACTCTTGCATCATCACTGTTTTCAGCATCAGCAGCAGGGTTGAGGTTTGTGCCAGGTGGCTCACAAGGTTTTAAGATAATGACCAAACATTTTGACATCAAAGGTGAAGATCTATTATCCACTCATAAATTGGGAAGATAATACAAGACATGTAAAGAAAAAAACACTATAGCAATAGTAAAAAATACAAGAAATGTGTGAGATTTCTAGTTAAGAGGTTGTAAAAACATTAAGCCAACTACATACAAACATGTCCAAATAGAAAATGGAAGAAAAAGCCTAGTGGAAATGCTTGCCTTATTATTTGTTTGGACAAATATTTTTACTAGTTCAATATGCAGCCCTTTGATTGCTTTTAGTAAATCTTTATAGGATTCAAATGTCACATGTAAACAAGGCTGTAAACCTCAAGTTACTTCCATTAGTGCCATCTGGTATGTGGCTATATATGTAACTGAGCATCATTGATTATGATGCATAAACGTAAACTACAACCAACATAGTAATACTGTGGGAACTTGCCATTCTATTCCAGGCTGGACGGGTGTGAACGAGCGCACCTTCATTGCTGTGAAACCAGACGGCGTGCAGCGGAAACTGGTGGGAGAAATTGTACGTCGTTTTGAGAAGAAAGGGTTCAAACTTGTGGGCTTCAAACTTGAGCAGGTACGATGCTAAAATGGTCTCACTTGTGGCTCGCTTGCATGATGCTTAACACAATAAATGCAAGGCATGAGCTGTTAAACAAGTTTGCGTCTTTCATGTTTGTGCAAACCAGGTGCCAGAGGATCTTCTGAGGGAACATTATTGGGACCTGAGGAATAAGCCGTTCTTCAGCTCGCTGATAAGATACATGAGTTCTGGACCTGTCGTTGCAATGGTGAGGTTCCCCAACATTCTGTGGGCATGTCCACAAGATGAGTCACACAACAAGTCAGGGTTTAAGCCTGTTTTTTTTTGGTTTTTGTTTTCCCACTACAAGTATTTTTTTTACATTTCACCTCCTAGTATGCAATGGTTTTAACATTCCTGTGTTTGTTCAGGTGTGGCAGGGTTTGGACGTGGTCAAAACTGCTCGCAAGATGTTAGGAGAGACCAACCCTGCCGACTCGCTGCCTGGAACCATCCGGGGAGATTTCTGTGTAGAAGTGGGCAAGTAAGAGCTGACAAATGTGCAAATAAGAGAAGCGTTTTGTGTTTTGCATGGCAGCTGAACACAAGCTAAAATCAAGGTTTGCGCACTTAAATTCCTTGAAAATACCATATTTTTCAGCCTATAAGTCGTGGTTTTTTTTGTTGTTTTTTTTTTGGGATAATTTGCGTGCCCTGCAACTTATATGTCGGATTAATAATGGATATATTTTTGGATTTTCCCCCATATTTATAAATCAATTTTTGGCTGAGATATGATCGTTTTCATTAGGGGTTGAACAGTATATAATTTTTAAACTCGACATTAACATAATAAAACCCGAGTAGAACTCGAGTATTTGATAACGTCATAGATCTCAAGATACAAAATAATATAAATAAATAAAACTGCAAAAAAAGGTATTTACAAAAAAAAGACCAACAAAGCATTGGGGGCGTATATTATGCTCCTACCATTTATCATACTGCAAATAAGTCACAGGAAAAACTAAACTATTAGTTATTATTATTAAACTGCAAACGTGAAGAAACATGCAGCACATCAAAAACGAAACTTAAACCGAAACTGGTTCTGGTTCGGTGGATAGGACCCGGTGTTACACAATACTCTGTGACCTGCAACAGTGCAACACCGCCCCCTACGGTCATACGGTGGTCACATAATATGACGTCACTACAGATACTCAATGTTACATTTTTAACCTCGATAGATGTCCTAGCAATCGATGTGTAGATTACTCGAGTACTCTGTTAATGCCCTAGTTTTCATTCATTCTGACTGAAAATATTGAGCACTACCATTTTCAGCCACTAGATGGCACTCGAGTAGTATGGCATGCAATAGGTAAAAGTGGCTATTAATGACACAATCGGCTTGCCATAGATGCCACTGTCATCCTTGCCTGGTGCAACCGTCAAATCGGTGTAAGGATGGTATCCCTCTGTCAGTCTCCCTGTGTCCGTACTCCCTAGTGTCTCTCAGTAATTACCCCATCAGCTCCACCCGCATGTCCTCCAGGTGTTTGTAATTTGTCTCGTCTAGTCTGTGTATATAAGCCCTGGTCTGTGTCTCAGTGTTTGTCGGTGCATCGTCTGGTACAGCTCCTAGTTTGTCTCCTGTGTTCTGCGTATAATCCTGACCTGACCCTGTCTGTAAGTTTTTTCTGCCACGTCAGATTATTAAAGTGATTATTATTTTACACCCTCGCCTCTTAGTTCTGCATGCGCAAATGGGTTCGTTCCTGCTCAGCTTCACCTGAAAACCGTGACAATCAGCTTCATTTCACTGCACAGCTCCGGCTAAATGCAGCTGATTTGATCATTAAAGTGCATTTAGTAAGTAAAAGTTCACCTGAGACACAGCTTTGCTATAATGTCGAGCAAACAAATAATTGTTTTTAGGTGCTTCTTAAATTTCAAAGAAATGCACGCACCTATTTCCACGTATCGGCTTTTGAAATACAGCTGATTTGACCATCAAAGTGCATTTATTAAGGAAAAGTTAGACTGAGACAGTGTCGGGACCAAAGCCAACCCTAAACGGAGAGGAAACAAGCCTCACTTCAGCAACTTGTTCTGAATAAAGAGAAACAAGATAAGAGTTTACTGCAGCTTAATGAGTGGAAAAAGACAATCTGCTGTTCAATAAATTAAAGCTATGAAGCGAAGCGATTTCAGAACGACTTCAGTAAATGTCTGGTACCTGCTGAAGCAGCATAATAAAGGCTGCAGAAGTCCTGGTTGGAACACAAACAACAACAAAATACATCCAGAGCAAAACGATTGTCATCGTTATCATGATGAATTTGTTGTCTCAGTTTAGTTTCACACTTAATTTAATAATATTTACAAAATACAGTAGTTAGAATTTTAAGTTTCAGTGAAACACTTTTATAGAAGGCGGGACTATTTCTTTTCTCTTCTGTAAACATATGAGGTTTACAAAAAGACAAATGATTTTTATTTATTAATAATTTCTAAGTAGAGTTGGATTGACATGAGTTTTCTACAGCTGCTGGCTGATCTACAGTTCAATTTAATTGAGTTTACAGTATTTATAGAGCGCCAAGTCGTCTCAGGTCACTGAACAGAAACATTCATAAATGTCAATTAATAACATTCATTATCTGAGGAGCAACATCAGATGTTTGTCCAACATGTATTTTTCATTTAGCAAAATATAACAATAGTTGCTTAACTTAAATACAAATATATTCATCAACTTTTAGAACTTTGTACACTTAAATGATAAATTATAGAAGAGCTGTTTAATTGATCCGTCTCTATTTACATGTACATTTTTAAACATCCTAATAAAGCATTAAATGTTCTGTTGAATTAAACACTTCATTGTGTTTTTGTTTAAAAAAAAATCAAATTTCAGATATTTCATATGAAATTGTTGACATTTTAACAAACAAAATAACTGAAATTTGAAGGAGTGAAATGGATTTAAGAGAAAATTAAAATGCATTTCGTGGAGTGTTACGTATCTAACAATCCAATAACAATAAAGTAACATTTTAATCAATTTACTGTTTTGATGTTTGTATTAATAATTTGTTTTGGTTTGGGCAAAAAACAAAGAAATGATCCTTAACTCTCCCTGCTCTGCGTTCAGGAACGTGATCCACGGCAGCGACTCGGTGGAGAGCGCCCAGAAAGAAATCTCTCTGTGGTTCCGTCAGAGCGAGCTCCACCACTGGGAGAGCAGCAGCAGGAACTGGATCTACTGACAGTTTGTACACTTCTGTATGTAAACCAGTGGTCTTTAATGTGACCTGTTAACAACAAAAAGATCACATCCCGCCTCAGACGAGTCTTTTTGACGTTAGTGGCTCCACCCTGCCTTTACTGCATTTCTGTTTACATATTTCTCTAAAGTCTGGAGAGAACTTGAACAAAGAGGCACTACGTGAGCAATTTATGATAAAATATCTGCTTTGAGTCTAAAACGAGCAGTTGTATAACTTTGGATTTATGATGTGCGCCGTGAAATGTCAGGTATTCGGCTAAGATGTGCATCACGTTTCCATGTCTGTATTCAGATGAAAACCTTAACTTGTGTAATTAGTTGGCGTTATCCAACTTTAAAACAACTGTTCTCACTGCATCTAAATTGTTTTAAGCTTTAGAACGTTACTCTTTTTAAATACATTATCGGTAATTGTATGTTTTTGACTCTTGAACACTTCTTTAGTTTTTTATAGTGGAAAATGAACCACTTGTTCTTGTTTCAGTGACAGGATGATTAGTGTGAACATGAATGTATGGAAGTGCTTGAATTTTAAGTTTCATCCTTTAAAACAAAATATAATTTAGATGTTTTGAGAAAAACACAACCAGCTGAACCACTTTAACGCTTCCCTCATTTACTGTGTTTTGAAAACAAACGATAAATATCAGCTTCTTTTTTTTAATACTCTGTTGTAAACACTTTTTTTTTGTGATGTCAAACAAACGACCACACATTAAATTGCTTTCAGCACACAAATATGTTTAATATTTAATCCACAGAGATCAATGCACAGATTTCCATACTGAACCAAGAGGATGAGCTTGAATCCCTGCATATAAAGTAACAGCATGCCATCGTCCACCTGCGTCACACCAAACCAGCTGGTTAGGGAGGGATTATTTTACTAACAGAAGTTTGGAAACGGTGAACTCAGCCCCTTTGAGTGGATATGGACATGATGTGACCTTTGAACTGCTGTAAATGCACCACATGTTCTAAAAACACGCTGATGCAACACTTAGATTTTCTTAGGGGGGGAACCCAACAGATGCAGATAAACTTATGGAAAAGGTGCAACTCTTGGGCCCATGGAGAACAAATGAGTACACAAGGAGGCAAACGTGTGCCTGCAGGGCGAGTGTAAGATCACTGCAGATGAGGGAGGTAGTCATGAGGCTGGATTACAAGGCTTATGATGATCGTTACAATTTCCAGTGTGGAGCAGACTTAAGATGGCAGGCAGATAAATAGATCAGAGAAAGTCATTTACAGTAATAGGAACGGGTATAATAGAAGGAATGATGCAAGGCTCGGAGGGTTTTACAGCCAAAGGGAAACTTTTACATGACCCGGGATTATTACAAGGTTTGGATGGTTGGAAGCTTTAATAAAAATCAAGAGATTCTTTTTAAAGAGGCCAGTTTCAGGCATCATTCGGGCACGTACGACACCTGCCAGACTATAATGTGGCTTCGCTCAGCTTTGCTCAAAGCAGGTTTCATCTGCGAAGCTTCGCCACTGCTTTCTCCTTCCTCCGTCTCATCATCCTCTCCATCACCTATAAAAATGGATCGTAACAGAGTTTTAAAACCACAGAGAAGCTACTGTAACACGATAAGTCATTTTTACATTACATTTAACAGAGCTCTGTATTTGACACCAGTGTTCTGACTAATGCACATTGTAGGCTGCAGTTCCTTCTGTCACCACCAGGTGTAGATCAGTGCTCATTATTTGAAATATACTCAGGCTTTTAACATTTACCCTCGTTTTTTTCCATATTTCAGTCCATCACTGTGAGAGAAACTAGATGTCATGTATGATTTCAAGAAGAACACCATCACTTTCATTAGTTGCACTATGTGACACCTTTGCATAGTTTTGAACTGTAAGTCAAGACATTTATGGTTCTGTCTATAAGGTACCACTTTATCATGAAAGTAACTTATCGAAGGAATCCTGCTTTCCTGTTCAATATTAGATGATTCATCGAAACATTTCTTAAGGTAGTTCAGAACTTAAGTTGAGCTCGGTTGAAAATTATGAACTGATATTTTACTTGTTCTATTTAGTTTTGTTTAATACAAATGATTATTAAACTGTTACTCAGTTTAGAGAAACTGTTTATTTCTGATCGAACTGATGAGCTAACGGCTAGTCTGAGTGGGACCAGGATTTAAGTGGATTTCTGGCAACTTGAAACAAATCAAGTCCGCTCATTTTATCGCAGTTTATACTGTACAAACACGGTTATAAACCTTAAGGTTGCTGTTGGTCTCGCATCACATGGTTATTCCAGCAGAAATATCATATTCTTGCAGGAAACTGCTCTGGGCTGCACTGGCTAGCTACTGCAGACACTACCTTTATTGCAAACAACCACAGATTCCATTTTAAATGAGTGTGTGGTGTGAAGTTGACACTGCTCACATGAAACAAGCTTTTAGGATCAAAGCTCTTAAATGGACTGTAACTATCTGGCGCCTTTCTATCTAATGAAGATACTCAAAGCACTTTACACTACGATCTGTGTCCTCATTTACCCATTCATGCAGCACTCTACTAGATCTGTACAAAGAATAATCAGTACTTTATCACATTCATGCACCGATGGGACACATTGGAGGCTATGAGGGGTTCAGTGTCTTGCCCAGGGACACTTCGACATGTGACTGCTGGTGGAATCGAACCCCCAATTCTTGCACTGGAGGACGACTGCTCTAACCACTCAGCCACAGCCGCCCTGACATTTAAATCAGCAGCAATCCACTTTGTTCACTTCAGCAGTTGTTGAAGTCGTTCTAAGAGATATGCAACAGGTAAGATATTAACTGTCCATATGTTTCCACAGAACCCTTTTAAGGCTGCAGCTTCTGCTTTCACAAAGAGGTCAAAGCATGAACATGTCAACGCGAGTGTGTTAACTTTAAGCTAACTGTGGTCATTCTTTGTTCTGTCCAACTTTAGAGCAGCGACTGAACTAATGCAAATTATTTTAGAAGACGCGCAAACATCGCAAGGATAGATTATATCGGAAAACATTTACACTTTTAAATCAATCACAGCTGTAAAGAGACGGCAGACAAAAAGTTTTGAGCTCTTTGTGGTTATATTTGTTTTGATGAAGGCGTAAATGAGCGAGTGGCGTTTGCTCTGTGAGTGTTCACCTATACGGAAGTCGATGTATCCCTCTCCTCCGCTCAGCACCAGCACGTTGTGAAAGCTCTGCGCCTCCGTCTCTGTTGGTGCTGTGGAGCTCTGTCCTTCTGACGGGCTGTCCAGAACGCTGCCGTTCAGGGTGGCCAGCACGTTGCCTGTCACAAATAAAACACCTTCAGATCAGTTATTTAAAACTTTACAAGAAGCGTTAAATGTTTAACTGGATTTCAGTTCAGGAGCTCGAAACGTGACCAGGCGGGTCAGGGTTCTTACTGACCCGGCACAGAGACGAAGAACTTGACGGCGTCGCGGTGTCCGTGGAAACACAGCTGGGCTTGTGCCATCGAGCAGTAAGGGATAAAGCTGCCGCTGCTCTTCTCAGAGCCGTCGTCGCCGTACACGTGGATCACGCCACCGGAGGACGTAGGCGACACCTTATTGGCTGATTGGAGCACAAATGATGAGAGCTCAGGAAAATTCACTTTCTAAACTTTAGGAAGTTTTTTTTTTGTCCAAATAACTTCACACATGCAATGAATTTACAGCACAAACAAAACGGTTAATCTCGATAGAGTTGACATGCAGAGCATCTAACACCAAACCCCTCGCTAACAAAACCATAAACACCTAAATCACACTGAATCTGTAATCCTTAAATAATCCCAGAAGAACCGAGAGCTTAACTTGAAGCTTTAAGAGCAAAGAGAAACAGTCTGCAGGAGACGTGAAGGTTTGACCGGGTCAGAACAGTTCGAGCACAACAGGAGGAGGATGGGAGCGCTCCCACTTACCCCTCAAACCCAGGAGCTGACCCCGGTGAAGGACCACCGCTTTGGGAGGAGGAGGAGAAGGAGGGAAGAACAGGAGAAAGAGGACAGCAACAGTAATAATTATGAGCCAGACTGAGTGAACGACGTACGAGCACTGAGGAACATGGAAGGTGGGAAAAGTTGCAGGAAGAGGAGAGAGGGTTAGCTCAAAAGGAAACTATAAATGTTTTTATGCAATATTAATAAAATGAATCCCAATATTTGTTTTGTCTGATAGAAGCATGAAAACAATCTAAATATAATGAGATTTTCAAGAGTTGGTTTGTGTCATCATCATATCTAAAAGTTAGATAATTTGAAAACGACTTTCTGTTTTTCAGGTAACTTAACACAAAAAACAAACCGTCTTCTCAACCGTTTCTAGTGTTTTTAACAGTTTATGTCCACTTCTTATTCCAGTAACTTCGGATCACTCCTTCAGTAAGCATCAGTCACTCGTTGTATAAATGTACTCACTTTCTGTCAGAGGGATGGAGATGATCACGCCGTTTCCGGTTCCCACCCAGAGACGATTTCCACCAATGAGGAGGGCCGTGATCCGGACAAAAGAGAAGCCCAGCTTGCCCGTACCTGCGGGTGAGAGGAGCGCACGTCAAGGCTGAACAGGAAACGCAGTGTCTGTTGTGTCACGACGGCTAAACCTGTGGAAAAACAAGTCACAGATTAAATAACGAAAAACTCACCCAACATTTTACTGACGTACGGTTCGATGTCCACGTCCTGGAGGTGCTGGTGTGTGTGCGCGTGGTACAGACGCAGCGTGGAGTCCAGTCGGATGGACACCCACACGCCGTCGCCGATCCACGCCAGCTGCCGCACCTGACTCTCCCTGCGAGGGTGGGCGTCGAAGGACTTCTGCAGAATCACATGGGGGGAATTGGTGCTGCCGTTCGATGCTCAGTAAAATAATTACATAAAGCAGGTAACTCACCTCTATCTGCATGCTTTTGGGCTGAATGACATGAACCTTGTTCTTGTAGCCGCACCACACCTTATCGTGGACGACAGCCATGCAGCGGATGGAGTGATGAGGCCGACCGAGGTCCATGAGGTGGTAGTTGGACAGATCCCACTGACCATCTGTCGATTAAAAACAAAGTAAAACTGTAACTCCGTCCAGCAGAGAAGCACGGACTCCGATAGGACAAACAATCAGTAGGCGTCCATACCTTCTGATCTATGAAATATGGCGAGCGTTCCATCGGCGAGCGCGACCAGAACCCGACCTTTCACGTGCCTGCAGTTGGACGGAGACAGAAACTGCTGCAGGGATTCAAAGAGACGCTTACAGAGCCTGAAATCAAGCAGTTTTATCTCCGACCAGACGATCTGAACGCGGGACACGTTTGTCTTACACCAGACTGAGCACGGAGTCTTTGAGTTTGATGGAGTGGAGACACTTCTTCCAGTTCCCCACAGCTGAGTGGACATAAAGCCTTGAAGGAAAAGAAAAGAAAGTTCAAACTGACGAAACAAGAAGCTCTATATTCAGTCAGATCTATATTTATGGTTTAACAGCTCCTGTATCAATTAACCTTTTTATTCACAACAGTACCAATTAAATACATCAATATCTTAATAGATTTATAAAAAGGATAATTTTTATCTCCCTCAAGTGGATTTATTTATAAGTGAATAGCAGGAAACGTCTATAAAGGTTTCAGTCATAAACAACGCTGCGGTGTGACTCACCAGCCATTCTGGGCCCCGAGCCACATGGTGGGGGCCACGCTGGTGTAGTTTTTAGTCTCTTCCCCTCCATCTTCTAACTCTGTGGGCTGAGAGGCGTCTTCTTTGAACTGGCCCGTGCTCCTGTGTGGACACACCTGTTCAGAACCAGTACTCGTATCTAGGCCTGTCACGATAACAAATTTTGCTGGGCGATAAATTGTCTCAGAAATTATTGTGATAAACGATAATATTGTTTGAAATTTGACAATAATTATTTAGTAATTATTGTCAAATTTAAAAAGAAATGTTGGTTAATTTATTTTGAGTGGAAAACCTTTTTTGACCACCGGATGGCAGTATAAGACTGTTTGAACCGAAGGATGGATAGTGAGGAAGCGAGCAGCGTGTCTCTTTAAGAAAAATGGGAGGGAGGCCCCTTGACGTGACATGGGCTGTTTCTCGTTCCTGTTTCTGGTTCTCAAAATGGTGGACGCTCGGTGAGGTTTGAGCTCTTTAGCATAGCATTTTTCACACAAAGCTTTTAATAAAAAATCAGTAACAAGTTCTCAGCTTCTTTTGCAGAGAAAAACAACTTTTTACACAAAGGCACGGGTTTCAACCGTGAATTGTGGAGCTTCGACAAGACGGAGGATTTTTCCCCGAGGTCGGCCAGTTAGCTTAGCTCGTAGCTTAGCTTCTCAGCTTAGCTGCTTTTAACGATCCAAAAACGTGATTTTGGATCGTTAAAATGGATTTTCAAAAGAAAAGAGAAAGGGAGGGGTCAGTGAAGAGCACCGGAGTTGAGCCTTTTGTCATCCAGTGTCTTCAGTAGAAAGAGACACGAAGAAACGATAAAGCTGATAAATGAAAATGAGGTTGATAATTTTAATTTATCGTGCAATTAATTGATTTATCGTTTATCGCGACAGGCCTTCTCGTATCTACCACAGATGGCTCCGCCGACTTGCTTGGACTCAGATGGACTTTGACCCCCTACCTATCGAAGGAATCCGCCGGGCGAGGCTGAGGGTCAGTGAAGACGTGCTCCGTAAAAGGTCCCAGGGGTCCGGACCTCATTTCTGTGTGGTTGGGCGTTGTTTCGGGAACTTCTGTCGCCTCCGTAGCTTCCTCAGCCGATTGGGCGGGGTGCATCTTGCCGTTGCAGTGGGGAGCGGCGGGGGCTAAAGAACACCAGACAAATAAATTCAGACGACGCGGTTTGTAGAGCGGCCACCTTCCTGTGTCAGAGAGGTGCAGAAGAGTCAAACAGGCCCACCTTGACTTTTATCTATGATGGGTGTATCTGTACGGGAGGAGCAATTGCTCCGGGCGACGCTGCAGTTTGTGGCACAGCCGACGAGCGTGATGCCTGCCAACATTCCCTCCACCCCTCCAGAGTCCTCCCCACCTCCAGCTCCACCGTCACTCGGATCCAACACGATTTCTCCTGCTGGATAATCGCTCTCGCTCGCCGCTGGAAACAAACACGATATGTTTACAAAGGAGCCACACTGACCCACATATTGATGGACTTGGAGCAGCGGTCTCCAGCTGACCCGGCACACTGGAGATGCAGAGCACGTGAGCGTTGCAGACGTTGAACTGGTCAACGAGCGAACCCGGCTGGTTGGCGTCGATGATGACCACCTTGCTGGCGGAGTGGGTGCTGGTGAGGATCCACACTCGGCTGTTCATGCTGTCCGTCTCCTGGAGCTCCTTTGTCTGGGAGAGGACGCATTGATATTGTGAAATCCCAGAAACCAAAATTAATCTGGATTACTTTCTCCCTGCGAGGGACGGACTTGTCTTTGATTAACACAAATTTGACGGTTCAGTGTTGAATGTATTAAACCGTAGAGGAGATGGGCAAGTAATGCATAATAACACTGTTATTAATTCAAAAAGCGTTCAATACAAAAATCATGTCCTGGATGACTGAGAATCTTCACCAGCATAACACTGTTATTAATTAAACTGCAGTAAACTATTAATAAGCAGTTACAGTGCATTAGATTAAAGGACCAATATTGATTCGTGTCTTGCAGAATAGTAAACCATCATTGATTGTAAGCTCTATGCTAACTGTTTATATTATATATTTTCATAATTTATATGTTAAATATCAAACATCGTCAGCAATTTACCTGCATGAAAGCACTGAATATTTGGAAATACAAAATTTGCTTTGGCATATAAAGTTATCAAAGTGAACATGTCAAATTACACGATAAAAACTATTTGACACGGTTATGTTCGGTATACTAAACAAAAACATCTGAACCTGCTTTAATGTAGTTTTGTATAACATTATAAATGTCTATTAATGCTTTATAAGGTGTTTACAAACTTGTGAAAACACATTTTCAAGCATTAATAGATCCTTTTTAAATGTACTTTTACTGTAAAGTAACAGAAGAGATTAGTGTCCTCAGAGGGCCTGCCTTTTTCTTCTCAGGAGACGTGTGGTTGGTCTTTTTGCCGTTTTTGTCCTCCTCAGCCTGCAGGGGGTTGCTGACGCCTGACGATGCTTTGGTCGATGCCACCTCCTGGCTGCTGGCCCTCCATCCTGTCAGGTCCACTCCTGCTGCACACCATAACTGCAAACATGCACAAATGCAAAAGTAAAACTGTGGTTAGAGACAGTCAGGTTCATGAGTCAAAGCTGCAGCACAGACACATACATTTGGCAGCCACAGCACACTAAGGATAACTGTGACGTCTCAATTTTGCAATCAAGTACATTACATCTATCTTCAACAACAAAAAAAAGGTAAATGGACTGTACTTATATATCACCTTTCTATCTGATCAAGACACTCAAAGCTTTTTACAACACAATCTGTGCCTTGTTTACCCATTCATACAGCACTCTGTTAGATCTATACAAAGACTAATCAGTACTTTATCACATTCATACACCGATGGGACACACATCGGAGGCAATGATGGCTTCAGTGTCTGCTCACGGACACTTCAGCATGTGACTGCTAGTGGAATCGAACCCCCAACTCTTGCAATGGAGGATGACTGCTCTAACCAATTGACCACAGCCGCCCCAAAAACACAACAAAAGAGCAGATTAATGAAGTAAAAACCCAGGTCTGAGTGAATAAACTACAAAGCTATGACAGTTTAATTCAGGGCTATTCAACTGATGGTCCAGGGGCCACATTCGGCCCGCAGGTAAGCTCAGTTTGGCTCACTGATACTAAATTAAATTTACGTACTAACAACAACTGCTGGATGTCTAGCGCATAAGCTGTTAATTTTTAGTTAATCCACCCCCACCCCAATCAATTTAGATGAGTATTCTTGTTTTATTTCCTAGCAAACCTCTTACCTTCCTGTTGGGGTCTTTCTCCACCAGGGGGCGACAGTACACTGGGACCGGAACGTTCTTCATGCGGTTATCTTCTTTGTCACTGGTCTGCAGACAGATGTGACCAACAGTCATGAGGCCAGAGAAGAAGTTAATTATCACCTGGTTTCATTCATACATCTAAAACCATCCTGATGACAAACACGGGTTAGAAAAACAGTGCAGGACCAGTTTTAGATGATGCATCAGAGGTGAACCTGATCCCTCTGCCTCGTGCATGATGCACTGTTGGCTGCTGCAAATAAAGGCGCAAAGCTATTTTCAGTTGTTTTATCCCCCTAGATTTAAAACCACAACAAATGCATTCAGTATGTTTAATTTAATTTAATTTTCATTCCCAGATATTGGATAAAAGTGTGAAAGATTAAGAAAAAAATCTGAGTTGTTCCACAAACTAAAAGTTCTGCACACAGAATGATGATCTAAAAGAAACATGCAACCCCATTTTCAAAAAAGTAATTTTTTTGTGTATAATGTAATTTTTTTTTCACACTGGAACATGATAATCATATCAATTGTTTAAACAAACAAAAAAATGACAACTTTTTGAGGGTCACGAGCAACAAAAGGCGGTAAAAGTAAGTGGTGCAATTAAGACTCAGCTGGAGGAGCATTTTGCAACTAAATAGGTTTTTAGCAGCAGGTCAGTAAAGGACTTGTGTATAAAAGGAGCATTTTGGAGAGGCTGAATCTCTTAGAAGTAAAGATGGGCAGAGGTTTACCAGTCTGCAAAAAACTGAATCTAAAAATAGTGGAATAATTTCAGAACAATGCTCCCCAATGACAAATTAGGAAGACTTTGAATATTTTATCATCGCTAGCTCTTAATATCATCAAAAGATTTCAGGAGTCTGGAGAAATCTGAGCTCAAAGGACGGGGCTGAACGTCGTATTAGACGTCGGTGATCGTCCGGCCCTCAGGCGGTACTGCACCGAAAACAGGTCTGGTTCTGTTCTGGACACCACTGCCTGGCTCAGTGTCACTTCCATCATTCATCGTCTGTAAACACAGCTCACTGTGTCATTCCCAAATGCTGGTTAAAGCTCTTTCACACAAAGAAGAAGCCATACATGAACACCATCTAGAAACGCCACCATCTTCTCTTACAAAGCTCAATTAAACTGGACTGAGGCGAGGTGGAAAACTGTTCTGTGATCAGACAAATCAAAATGGAAACTTTTTATGGAAACCACACATTTGTACTGAATAAAGGGACCATCTGACCGGTTATCAGCACACAGTTCAAAATCCTGCTTCTCTGATGGTATGGAGGTGCATTAATACCTCTGTCATTGACAGCTTATACATCTGGAAAGGCACCATGAATGCAAAAAATATATATAAACAGGTTTTAGAAGATATGCTCTCCTCCAGAATATCTTTTTTTTTGTTTGTTTTTAAGAACGCCTTCCATAATTCAGCAAAACAATAATAAACTGCATCCATTACAACAGTATGGCTTCGAAGCAGAAGACTCCAGCTGCTGATCTCCGAAGTCCAGTCCTCTCAATAAATCAAAACATGAAGCATCGTGACACATAAAAAAGTCCACAAAAAGGAGCCAGGAGTGTCGAACACCTAGAATCCTCCATCAGTCAAGAACGAGACAAAATTCTCCTCCAAAACCTCCAGCAGCTGCTCTCCTCAGCTCCTAGACGTTTACAGCCTGTTGTGAAAAGAAGACTGGACAAACATGACCCTGTCACAACTTACTGTAGATATTAATTTCTTACTGTAGATATTTGATAATTACTATGTTCCACTGTGAATAAAACATGGGATTATGAGATTTACAAATCATTGCATTCTAGGTTTTTTATTCTTGGACAACATTCCAGCTTTTTCAGAACTGGGATTGTACAGATCAAGCCTCTGTCACAGTAAACAGTGCAAGAAGCTACTAATTGAAGTAGGGCAGGTGGAGGCAGACGGAGGTTAACGGTAAAAAAGCTGTGAAACAGAAATGGGATAAAAAATAAATGTTGGGGGGGGGGGGGGGTGTTTGACTCCACAGAAGGATTTTCACAGCTGTAGTCTTCACACCTCAATATTTAAAAAAAATCACATACATGCATTTTTTTTTTTTTTTCAGTTGACAAGTCACGTGTGATTCTTTTTTAAATTTCTGTTTTTTGTTCAGCAGCTTTCAGCTTCTGCAGGGGGTCGGCAACAGGCGGTTAAAGGTTAGAGAGGGAGGGGGAGCCATAAAGGCGCATGCTGGCCGGCACTCTGTCGTCTCACTTGCCTGTTGTCTCTTCAGCGGGCTGTCCTTAGCGCTGTCCGTCTGACCACCCGTCTGTGGAAGACCAGAGTTAGAGCCACCTGCCTACCAACACGCTCTGCTACCGAACCTTCGGACCGTCACAGTCAACTCGGAGGAAACACTGACATGCTTCAAACCAAAGGAGGAAAAAAAACTGAACGCTTTTTCCCTCAGCTACTGGACTGATTTACAGAAGTTCATTCTAATCTCATAACCAAATCAAAATCAGTAATAAACTGGTTATATTAAGAACTCTTCAAATAAATAGTGTTCAGATACTGATTATTTCTGTTCTTACATCATCACAGTTAAACCTGCTGAAGACAGTCAAAGGTGATATTTATTCCTGTTGAGCTGCATTTTCTGAAATCCACACCCGAGGAGACATGAAGCGTTTTAACAAAGCACTTTGCATCAGTGGTACCAAACTTTTTCTTTCCTCAACCCACTTGTGCACACCTAACAAGGTTAAGTCAGGTCCTCTGTGTGAGGATGGTGCCCCCTTGTGGTGCGTACTGGTCCTGCGCCTCGTGTACCGTATTTTTAACCGTACACGTTACACCGCCCTATAAGTCGCATCAGTTCAAATTTGTCTTATAAAGTGGAAAAAAAACATAAATGTGTCGCTTCCCCATATACGTTGCATCTATTATGCGTCACCGCTGACAACCCGGAAATGTGGGCCGGTGTTGTGCCAAAAATTGATCGGCTGCCAAATGGCGGCCGCGGGAGGACTTTAACAAGAATTTAACAAGATTAACATTTAAAAACAATTAATTGCTTGCTCAACATTATAGTAAAGGTGTGTCTCAGTTGAACTTTTCCTTAATAAACGCACTTTGACGGTCAAATCTGCTGCATTTCAAAAGCCGATACGTGGAAGGAGGCATGTGCAGAGGGACGAGTCACTGTGCGTTTCTTAGAAATTTAACAAGATAACCACCTAAAAACACTTATTTGTTTGCTCGAATTTATAGTAAAGGTGTGCTTCAGTTGAACTTTTCCTTAATAAATGCACTTTAATGGTCAAATTAACAGCAAAATGAAACTGGTTTGATGTTTGCTCCAGGCGAGTTGGACGAAGGTGGCATCTATGGCAAGCCGATTGTGTCATTAATAGCCACTTTTACCTATTACATGACACAACGGCATGCCATACTACTCGAGTGCCATCTAGCGGCTGAAAATGGAAGTGTTCAGTATTTTCCATGTCAGAATGAATGAACACGGTCATATCTCAGCCAAAAATTGGTTTATAAATATGGGAAAAAAAATCCATAACTAAGTCACTTCAGCGTATAAGTCGCAGGACATGCAAATGAGGCAAAAAGGTGCGACTTATAGGCCGGAAAATACGGTAATCGGTCCCCTTTTTCTACCCGTTATGTGTCCCAGGTGTTTGCACTTTGTCTCGTTGGTGTTTGTGTATATGAGTCTGCGTCTTTGTGTTTCTCGTTTTCTGGGCATTGTCATCGGAGTATGGTTCCTTGTGTCTGAATATGGTTCTGTGCTCCTGCGTGCCTCCCTCCCTGTCTCCTGGTTATAATGTGAGTTTTTTGCTGCCACGCCAGCTCTTTGTTTTCGTCAATAAAACGTTTTTCGTTATTTAACCTTCTGAGTTCTGAGTCCTGCCTGCGCTTGGGTTCGACCTGCTGCAGATCTCGAATCTCTGGACGGATTCTTCTTTGTTGAAACGTTTCGTCTTTTACCAAACAGACTTCTTCAGTCTGAGAGTTTTCAGTCTCTCAGACTGAAGAAGTCTGTTGGATAATAGACAGAGGACGTGACTTAACCTTGTTAGATTTATCTACCTGGATTATTGAGCATGCATCAGGACGCTTGTGCACACGTTTGATTTTATTTTGTCTCTGAATCCCTCCAAAGACCTGCAAGTTCCTCACACCTGAACTACTGAATACCTAGAAACCGTTTATTGTTTGCTTCCACCGTGGCTGAGGGGCAAGGTGCCGGCCGTCTGACTGTGACGAGGTGTGAGCGCTCAGTTTTTACCACCTGCCACACCGCTGCTGTTTATTCTGCACTTTACGGTAGTCACCCGGAGTCGTTCTAGATCCGTGCAGCCACCACTGACAGAAGTTCTTCCCAAAGCCTTGAATAATGGGTTAGTACTCAGAAGATCTGGATCAGACCAGCTCTCCTCCCTCACTCTGCTGAGTCACTACAATGATGGAAATATGTACGTGTTTTTTCAAAAGCACGTGTAAACATTGGAAAAACTAGAAAAAGAAAATCTCGCAGTGTGCAAAAGATCCTATCGTCTCATCTCTTGATGTGACTTGCAGCTCCTGTTCGTTTCTCTAACCAGTTTTTCAGCCAGTGTTTTACTCAGCTGATGGATGGACTCACTGTCTTCCATGGCTGGTGATTAAACAAAAAGTGCATCCCTTTCAGCGATGCACTGATGTTTTTTTTCTTAATCTTTAATTTTATAAAAGCAACCACAAACAGCTCTGTGTGCGACAGCAGCACTTCCACCCAGACTTTTAACAGCCTCTACTGATTCAGAGCAGCGCTTAGAAATTAAATCTCAAAAAGTTTAGTAGTTTAAAACTTCCAGATGTTTTGTGACACGCTTTATTATTTAAAGGCCTAAAAGAACTTAAAAGCCTGAAAAATGTACTTCATTTTTACTCTTTCCATTAGATTAGTTTAATAACTTTAATGTTACATGATGATTTTCCCTGCAGACAGCTTTTATTCACATGTGGTTTATTTAAAAATAATCCCCGTAAGGAGGTGCGGCAGACTGGATTGTGTTTACCTGTTTGAATCGAGACGGCACGCTCCAGCCACAGGCCTGCATGATGCCGTCGTCGCGGCGCATGTGCTCGCGCACCTGCCTGTACTGTTCCCGCCGCTGCTCTCGGCGGGCCAGCAGCGCCGAGTCACTGAGGAGAGACGCAACACCGTTACTGGCCAGTCTGGAAGCACCGGGAGGGAAGGGAGAGAAGAGCGAAGCGTTAGCAGCCCGGCCAGCCAGCAGCAAGAGAGGAAGAGGAGAGGAAGAGGAGAAGACAGCACAAAGTGAAGCGGTCGTTTTCACCTCTCTAAACTGAATCAGGTTGTAAAATTAGAAATCATAAGATAGTGTGGCTGAAAGTTCTTGGCTCCATAGATAAGATTAAAGTAAAGCTCATGTGTGTTAGAAAGTCTTGGTTTTAATAAAGCAAAGCCAAAAAAAAAAGCCTCAGCTGAAAGTAATTGTGATGCACGATATTATCGGCATGGTATCGGTATCAGCCGATATTAGTAATAAAGTTAAATATTGTACATCAGCCATTCCAGCAAAATAACTCACCGATATAAAAGGTGCTGTTTTTGTATGACAACCCAGTAACGAGGATGCTGCAGCGCCAGCACAACGTGATGACGTCACACGCGCCATTGAGTTTAGATTTGTGAAAATGTACAAATTTGCACTGTTTGAGTGTTGTCACTTTGTTAGAGAGAGTAAATGTCATGAATAAATTTGACATTAAACATAATCCAAGTTGAAGTGTTGACATCTGCATTTAGTAGCAGCCCAAACTGACAAAGACCATGCAGAATAATGTATTTTAATTCCACAGCAGAGAAAGCCATGTAGTCTCTGTAAGTAGGTCTAGGAGGGGAAATATCGGTATTGGTATCGGTTATCAGCCAAATAAGTTTTAACATATCGGCATATCGGATATCGACCAAGAATCCAATATTGTGCATCCCTAGATAGTAGTTTTTCTGTCTGTTAGCAAAATATTTCACGAGCCAGAAGAAACATTTGAATGAAACTCTGAAAGTTATTGAATTTTTATCTACAGCGGATCAACTTCTGAAGTCGTTCCAATTCAAAATGGCGTCCCAGCCAGCAGACGTTAGAACACACAGACATGGCTTTAACGCGGCCAGTTTCATAGAAACTGAGCTAAAGTTTGTTGTGATAGTAGCTGAGCATAATCCATAATTGATATTCTGAGTGCTACTCATTGTACAATTGTTTTTTTTTTGTTTGTTTTTTTTTGCTTAAAACTTTCACATTGACTGTTGGAGTCAATCATGTCTGTTAGCAAAATAGCTCAAGAGCCAGGGGACAAATTTTAATCAAACTCAGAATCTACATCTTATGTATGCCAATTTAAGATGGCCGCCACTTCTAATCAGCCTTAACAAACACAAAAATGTTACAACTCGGTTTGTTGGTAGCCGAGAGTCATCCCCAACACAAACTCTGAGCACTAACATGCGAGATTGTGCAAAACGTTTTAAAGATTTGATGGAATCGTTTATGACGCCATCATGTGGTATAGCGTAAATATCTTCAGCTTAAAACTCTGGCATGAAAGGCAGTGAGCGATACGGTTTCCTTCATTTGAATAAAGTTATTTGTCTTAATCGGACAGAAGAGAAGCACGAGTTAATTAGCAGCCGTTAGCAGTGCTGCTCTCTACTCTGCAAGCCGCCACAAGCGAGCCAACATCCGGGAGTTCGGACCAAAGCGGAGGAGAAAAGACGAGTTTTAGGCGTTGACGAGGGTTTGCAGCTCACTCTTCAGGGAAGAACTCCAGCGTGCGGTTCGAGGTGGAGATCTGACACATGGTGTGGCTGCGGCGCTGAGTCAGCGCCGGAGACGGAGACTTGTAATGGATGTTGACGCTGTAATATGGACGCTTGACGGGCGGGGGGCTGGAGGACGAGCTGAAGAGACGGGCAAAGCTTTGTGGGGAGAGAGAACCGGAGAAAGACGGGGTTTAGTTTTATTTAACCATGAGGATATTTTGGTTTGACTTCACTTGAATGAAAGGGGAGACTCACAACTGCCAGATGGTGGATTTCTTTTTCTCTTGGATTGGAGGACTCTCCCTGGACGCTCTGAAGAGAGGAAACGAAAACTTTAAATGTATTTTTGTGCAAAATACATAAAGAGAAACATCAAAAACACTTCAATAACAGGAAGAAATGCGGTGAACCTTCAATAAGTTCTTCACATCGGCATCTCTGTGTACCTACCGGATCATCTCCGTCCACCTCACAGCCTCCTGCAGCTCCATCAGCCTCTCTTTGTACTGGTTCCTCTCCATCAGCACACGGGCCATCTCCACCCGGGTGAACCGCCGCCGCTGGGTCATCGCCATGTCCCCGTCCTGCATGGGCGACGAAAGCTGGCAAACGATAAAACAGATACATTATTCAGCATGAACCATGAGAAATACGCCTCCAATGCTCAGGTCTGTCAGCTCACAGAAGAAACAAAAGCTTTTCTAAAGACTGTTTCCTTCCCCACACATTAGAAAAGTCATTTTTACTCACTTCGTCGCCTCCTTCATCCTTGGAGTCCCGAGACGCACCAAGAGCTTCTGCTCTTAACCTGGAGCCAGAAAGAGAAGGAACACCATGACAGGTTTGTGTTTTTATTAAGGCTGGGACAACAAGGACTTTAAGCAGATGTTTGAATTAGAAATCACATTTTTGCTGAATAAGCTGGGGCTGAAGGTGCGCTCAGCAAAGCCTCTGCAACAGATCGGAGCAGTCAACGAAACTGGGCTGCCCCTCGTCTCCGATCCCGTCTGTGGCGTTCATGGACGGGATCTCGAGGTGGAGAGGGTGTCTAGTTTAGGAACCTCCGGGTCTCTTCTGTGGTTCTGTTGGTGTCTTCCGATCATGACCTTTGGACCTTTGAGTGTGAGGCAGCTGGGATGGGAGCCAGCTCCTTAAAGTCCAAGGTCTCTGTTTCAGGTGGAGGAGGTCAAGTGTCTTGTTCACAAGTGATGGTAAGATGGAGCAGGAGATGCTGGATTGACAAATTGTGGCCTCCATAGCAGAAGCTGCGCGGTGAAGAAGGCAAAGCTCTCAAGTTACCGATCCATCTACGTTCCCATGCCTGTGGCCATGAGGTTTGGATCATGAACAAGATCCCAGATACTAGCTTCCATGGATAGGGTGAGGAGCCCCGTCATCCGAGGGGCACTCAGAGCAGAGCCGCTGCTCCTCCCCATCAAAAGGAGTCAGCTGAGGTGGTTCAGGCGTCTGGTTAGAATGCCCATAGGGGATTCCCTCTGGAGGGTTTCTGAGCAGGTCCCACTGGAAGGAGCAGATCCAGACCTTATTTAAATTATTACATATCCTCTCTGGTCTGGAAACACCTCGAGAAACCCCAGGAGTAGCTGGAGAGTGTTGCTGGGGAGAGGGAAGTCTGGGTGTCTCACCTGAACCAGACTTCTGGCTGTGAAACTGCACGTGTACAATAAACTGACTGTGGCATGTGTTTGATGAAAACGGACACGTCAGGGTCTCTGGGCCAACAGCTCTGGAGATTTCTGCCGTCCAACTACCCTTTGTTGTTTGAGGCTTCCTGCCTAACATCTGTATCACATGAACAACAGCTCAATGTTTTGGGTTTTTGTTCGTTTCACCTCTTGAGCTCCTCTTCCAGCTCCTTCACTCTGGCGTCCACCTTGTTCTTGGACTGCCGCACCGCCTCCAGCTCCTCCCTCAGCACCTCCTGCTCACTCGACAGCTCATCCACTTTGGCAATAAGGTCGTTTTTTACAATGTTCAGAGCGTTTCTGTCAAAGAGCACAAAGACAGAGGAGGCTTTAACTTAAAAAAAGGTACATATAAGCTCTTCTTTTAATTTTCCTTGTTGCTCTTACTTGGTTTCTAGAAGCTGTTTGTTCTCCGTCAGCAGGTTCTCCACCTCCTTTCCCATCCCTGAAACACAAGACATACTCAGGTCACCTCTCCAGTCGATTCATTCAAAACCTAAACGCATTCCTCTAAAAAAATAACAAATTCAACACACTTTTGTGAACAAAAAAAATGAAACGTTTCAACACAAAAATGACAATTTAATGCAAATTAAACTAATGTATTATTTCAAAGGATTACTAATTAACAACAACACTGAAATTATACAAGAATAAATGAAATGTAATGAAATAATGGAAGATGAAAAAAGAAATAACTAACTTCTCCTAATATTTTCCTCTTGAGAAACGACCTTGGAGGTGTTGGCGCAGAATAAACGTGCAGAATGAAAGGTTGATCATGCTCAATGTAATATAATGATTTCTAATTTTCCCAGTTATGGCCACAAAAGCAGCAAACGCTGTGCAACAAAAAGGAGGAGCAAAAACAAAATGCCAAGAAGAGCTCAAATTTATCAAAACCTGTGGAGGTTTCAGTTCTCTGATCAATAAGATGTGTTAAAAATGAGCTACAAAACTTTTTCCCCTGCAGGTCTGTCTTACTCTTCTTATCATTAGGTTATTATTTTGGGCTGTTTCAGTCTCAAACAAAATGAAAATGTAAGCAAACAGCGTTCTTTATGAAGCAAACAGCTGATTCATGCACGCGTCTTTGCACGAGCTTCTGGTTAATGAGTATGAAAAACTTCAGGGGTGTGACGATGTGTGAAAGCTCCGCGACAACCGACACGATGCTGCGACAATGAAATGATGAAACAAGCAAAAAGTGAGGAGGTGTGAGGACTCGGAGCGCCTTACCGAAGAAATCATCTCGAACTAGAGGCAAGAGGAGAAGAAAGAGGAGGAGAAGAACGAGAGGGAAAGAAAGACGATGATGAGCAACAATAAACACTAAAAATTGACTTCTATCAGGTTTTTTGGACACTCAATAATGATTTATTGAATTATTATCAGACCCTAGCCCCTCCCACATGGGGTGACTCAATCACAGAAAATATCTTCATAAAAAAGAAGCTTGTCAGCTACTATTACACTGACTTCATAGTTTTAATACCTTACTAAATATAATACGGTAGTCACTCGCTACTTCACGGTTAGTTTTTCACGGACTCGCTCTATTGAAGTTTTTCAAAATAAGATTGGACATGACACACAATTGGCTGATTGATGGATGAGCCGCACGCTCGGCGCGGAATAAAAAAAAAAAAATTAGTTTAAATTATTTAGCACCTCCTGCACCTCTGTGCAGCCCACACTGCAGGAGAAACTTCCTCCTGCAGCTGATCAGCTGATCTTTGTGTAGTTTGAAGAAGTGGGCGTGGCCGAAAGAGCTTGCAGGTGGCAGAGAGCAGAGGAGCCAGGGAGCTGAAATAATGACATTCTGTGCTCTTTTAGAGCGTTTAGAGTTTAGAAACAGAATATTGCAAGAGTGTATATATATATATATACATACACTTAAAATATACTACTACTTGTACTACCATCCCTACTTCGTGGTTTTTCACTCATCGCGGGGCTTCTAGGTACGGATCCCCATGATAAACGAGGGACTACTGTATTTCATTTTAGAACAGTTTATGTTTTCTATGGACTATGTCGTTGCTCCACCACGGGTTTTTTTCCCCACTTGACACCATCAACGTGGACGATCAGGTAATTAAATGCATATTTGTCTGTTAGCAAAATATCTCATGAACCGCTGGTCAAATTTAAGTTAAAATCTCAGAATGAAACGGTTAGCTGTTGATGTCTGGAGTCAATTCATTTCAAGATGGCTGCCATGGCTAATCCACTTTGCAAAACATAAAAGCTGCTATAACTTAGTTTTATAGAAAATGTGTTTCTCTTTGTCCTTCTCTGAACACTAACTGGTCATGTGAGATCTTTGTTTGAAACTTTGGCGTACAAGGTGTTGGACAACATGCATTTCTTCAAGAAATGCTAGTTTTAGTTATCTTATGGCTAGTTTAGCGGTTTTATATGGTCACTGTGGAAGAAATACATTAAAAATTCCCATTTTCCACGTGTTGTACAAGCTATGTTGAAACATTGTGATAACACCTCATCACACATTATTGTGGTACATCTAAAATATCATTAAGACAATCTGAAAAGCCTTCCTCTTTGGTCATTGTTGGGCCTGGTTCTAGTCCACACAGCATGTGTTGTGCTAGATAAAAAACAAAAACACTTAAAGCATTACGTTTGAATTAAGGGGAACTTAATTAGGATTTAGACAAAACAAAAACCTTTTTATTAAATCTAGCTGCAAGCTCTTAGGATAAATTAGCAACAGATTGTCATTAAAAACTTTCACACGTTGAAGGAATTTAGCTGAACTACGTTTTAACTGATTTATACATTTCCAGTGACTTAATAAAGCTTTTACCGTATTTTTCAGACTATAAGGCGCACTTAAAATCCTTTAATTTTTTTCAAAAATCAACGAGTCTAATAATCCGGTGCGCCTTATGTATTAATTCTGGTTGTGCTTACTGACCTCGAACTGATTTTATGTGGTTACTGTGAATGAGTTGAATAAAGTTTGACTTATTTGACTGTTTTGTTTCGCTTAATGCAATTTATAATCCGGTGCGCCTTATGGTGCGAAAAATACGGTAATTGGTCATTGCTAATAATTAAAGCACTATTCTTCAACCTGTGTACACTGAATAATATCTGCTCTGAAAGGCTGAGTTTAGAGAACAGAAAGGAGCTAAAAGAGTGAAAGGAAATGAGACCAGCCAACGCGTGACCAGATACACACCTGAAAACTCGCCTACGGGGTTCACCAGCAGAAGCACATACAAGAAAAGAAAAACAGAAATGAGTGAGAGGTTAACACATGGAGGCAAATTTACTTTTTTTTTAAAAATGTCACCTAAATTCAAAGAGTTAAACTGCACACGCCTAAAATAAAGTCAAACGGCTGTGACCACAAAATAAACCCGGAACAATACGAGAGTAAACATCTCTTAAAAAACTTAAAACTGGTGTTAAACTAAACTATCTATGACCGGTGTAGAACAACAAATAAATGACGAAAGTAACTGCATGATGGAGCGCTGTGGTTGTGGCTGCACTCCACAGTGTTGGAGTGGACATTTTGTGGGGTGGGTGGAGGTGGGGGGTGATGTTGCAGTGCTGCAGCCTGACATGCAGGGGAAAATCAGTGCAGCGGCACATTCACAGCATCACAAGAAGCTTCTTCTGCTCCGCAGCTCTGCAAAACCCAAACTGATCGCCGCCTCTCCCTCCATTTTGGAGTTTCATCACGTTTTGGCCCATTATCGTACAACTCAACAACCCTTTCCAAGGATTTACCCCAGAATGAATCGTATTAGACAAAAAGAGTACATGAAAACGTTGAGGGTTGCGGATAAGGACATCGGGAAATACCTAACAGCTCGGCTCCTGCATCCACGTCCCCGATGATGTCCGATTTGGCGTCTTTGATCTCGTGGTAGAGAGAGTCGGTGTTGATGCCGAAAGCCTCGTTGACGATGCCCTGAGAGGGGCTGAGAGACAAGAAAATTATAGGATTGTGCAGTCGAAGTTAAGTGTTTTTGTTGTGTGCATGCAGCAGCGTTAAAAACTTTTATAAAACCGCACCTGCATTCTAAAAACATCCATTTGGTCTGTTTTAGTGGTGAAAAATCATATCATTATCAATCATACAAGGAACAATAAAATCTGATTTTGACAACAATTACCGGTAAAAACAACCTGCTTTACAGAAGACAAGTTATTTCAGTGCACCAAAGTTCATGCTCAATAATTCAGGTAAAAAATCCAACAATGTTCAGTCAGGTCATCTGGAGGGTTTTTTTTTTTTTGCTGAGACATTTTTGTCCTTCATCCAAAAGGACTTCTTCAATATGATGAGCCACCAAACAAACTGAGTCCCACAAACAGCACACTCCCATAATGGGAAAAAAAAAATCTGTTATCACCAGTTATCACCATCTTATCACCAGCAAACTGTTTTTTTTTTCCTACTATGGGAGTGAGCTGTTTGTGGGACTCGGTTTGTTTGGTGGCTCCTCAGATTGAAGAAGTCCTTTGGATGAAGGACAAAACGTCTCAGCAAAAAAGAAAGAAACCGTCCAGATGACCTGACTGAACATTGTTGTATTTCAGTGCATTTTGGAAAGTGGTGAGAATAACGTGGAAATATACAGTACGTGTTTTTAGTTTATGTTCAAAATCCCCAAAATGGTGATAATTACAGGTACATATAACTCTGTGAGAATGGTGGTTTTGACCACAGATGTTTTGGTACCTGTTTCCTCCTCCGTACACACGAGGATCCACACACATCTCCAGCTCAGGTGTGGAGTCAATGATTTCCTGAAATTCCGACCATTCGTCGCTGCTCCCCATCCCTGGATGAATGTCACAGAAACACAGCTAAGTTTAAGCAGAAAGTTACGAAGTGCAGCTTTCTAAAAGCTCAGTCGTATTTAATTCTTATCTTGTGACGTCCTCGTACCGATGCTGACGTTCCTGGTTTCCTGGGAAACCTGCACCTCCATGTTCCGGCTGAGACGCTTGCCGTTTTTCCTGCGGTTCCCGGCGCGCACCACGTCGAAGTCGGACTGCGGGAAGAAGCCCTCGTTGATGGGGGTGACGGTGGCGGAGGGCACGGAGGAGGTGGGCGTGTTGGACTTGCTTCCCGTGCTGCTGGGCGTCACCGCCACCGAGTCCGACTCGGATCCGTCTTCCTTCAGGTGCGGCAGCAGAGAGGAAGCAGGACCGTGGAATCAAAACAAACAAACAAACAATATAAGCATAACTGACACAAGGAAAAAGCCTTCAGCTACATCAGTTCACACCAGCGGTCTTACTGCTCTGGAGTCCATAATCTGAAGTCTATTTTAAACATACAATATATATATATATATATATATATATATATATATATATATATATATA